GATGACTAGCGACGCGACGAGGAGGGTGGTGTGCTGGCAGCGTGCTGTGATTGGTTTCCTCAGGGAACGAGCCATCCTGAGACTGACGACGAATGCTAGTAGCGCCATCCTGTGTGGATCGGAGAAAGTGGCAGACAATCAACTCCGAGTTTCGTGAGCGGCGGCGGAAATGCTTGGCACTTGGATAATGTGAACTGGGAGGAACGGAGTTTGGTTAATACGTGAGCGAGATCCGAGTCACGAGGTGCAAATGCGCAAGAGCTTGTTTCCCAGGAGCTTGTTTGCTGGGAGAGGTCCCAGAGGGCGCAAGATACTCACTCACCCGCGCAGCTGGGAATCCATGCCTTTCGTGCTCATTGCTCAATGGCGGCACATGCGGCGATTGGGTTCACTCCACCGCACCGCATCGCAGGGCTTGCTGACATGCCGGCCGGGCGCCACAGCGCGAATGGAGGCGATGGTTGGGACATGGGAGCGCCGGGACATGCGCGGGGGCAGGGCTCAGTTATATGGGACGGTTTTTGCCTGACGTCAGGACCAAAACAATATCTGTGCGGCTCAGGGGCCGGCGAGGGTGGGTCTGACTAATCGCCTGACATGTACCACGCTGTCCCAGCGCAGCGAATCTCGTCGTCTGTCGAGTTTTCCCCTCAGGCTGACGTCGATGCATCTGGCGCTCACTCCAACCATGATGGATCCAGCGCCCCTCGCCAGCTACTCGGGCCCGTCGCGACTCGCGTCTCGTCACGCAAAGCCCCTTCCCTGTCCCACCTGAGCACATTCCTCTCCTCAATGTTGTATTCACTCCGTCCTCTCTCCGTGTGCGCACAGGATTTTCTGCTCCTTGCCAGAAGAGCTGCTCCGTGTGTACCCCAAATGCGGCGTCGTGAATCGTCGCGAAAGTATCGACGGCGCCCCGTGAAACGGAATGTATAAGCAGAGGATGCGTAAACTGTCAGAATAGTGGCGAGAATAAGGAGCCATAGCTAGGGTTTACCTAGCTAGGCAAGAGAGAAATGAGCAAAGGAGTGTTGGACTAGCAATAGTTGGGATACAAATAGGAAACCCTAAGGGGCCGTACTCACTACAGAGTACCCCACTGCAGGCTAGACAAGCATTATAATCTGACACACCCCCATAGTCAAAGTGGGGTATAATCAGCACAGCAAGCAGGCATAGAGCAGGTTCACAAGTGTAAGCAAAGCTAGAGGTATTCACAACGGGCAAGTGAGGAGGAGGAGGCGGGACTGTAAGAGGAGAGGAGATAGGAGGCGACGGCTGAAGCTGCAGACACACGGGCACCAGGAGCGGCTGGCACAGTGGCTACCGGGACAGCGCCCCGGACTACAGGAGTAACTGGCTCGGCGGCTACGAAGAGCGGCAGGAGCAACGGACCCACGGGCGACAGGCGCAGCAGGCTCTCTGGGCTACCAGGACAGCGCCCCGGACTACAGGTGCTGCGGACGACAAGACAGCAGCCTCCGCTCAACCTCCCCCAACTGTCCCACCCCCCTTTTCACACACCCCTTGCTGCACCCCTAGCTCCACTCCCACGTCACCCCCTTAGCGCCACTCCCTCGGCTCCCACACACCCACCCCCCTCAGCGGCAGCTGCAGCAGTGGGAGATGGAGGAGGAGGAGGAGTAGGGGACGGCGCACACACCCGGCACCCCCATAACCGCCACCCCCACACTCGCCACCCCCAAACCCTAAAACGGGTGGCACGGGGCAGGAGCGCGGGGGACGGCGCAGGGGACGGCGCGCGGCCCCCAGGGCGCCACGACGGGGCAGCGGGGGGAGCGCGCGCGCCCCCCACGGCGCCGCGATGGGGCAGCAGGGGGTCGCGCGCGGCTCCCCAGGGCGGCTCGACGGGGCAGCGGGGGCCGCGCGCGGCTCCCCACGGCGCCGTGACGGGATTGCGGGGGGGGGGGGGGGGGGCGCGCGCGTCTCCCCAGGACGCCACGATGGGGCAGCAGGGGGTCGCGAGCGGCTCCCCAGGGCGGCGCGACGGGGCGACGGGGGGCCGCGCGTTGGTTTTCCGGGCGACGCGACGGGCTCCAGGGGGGGGCGACGCGACCGTCGACAGGGGGGGACGCGCGGGTCCCCGGGGTGACGCGCGAAGAATGAAGCCGCCACGCGCCTCGGGGCGCACGGCGGGCAGAAAACCGCCATGCGCCCCGAGCGCGTGGCGGGAAGAAAAAAAAGCGTCGCGCGCCGGGGGGCGCGCGACAGAGAGGAAAGCAGTGGAAGCACGTGGGGCCCACAAGCCAAGAGCGTAACAGCTCTGATGCCATGTCAGAATAGTGGCGAGAATGAGGAGCCATAGCTAGGGTTTACCTAGCTAGGCAAGAGAGAAATGAGCAAAGGAGTGTTGGACTAGCAACAGTTGGGATACAAATAGGAAACCCTAAGGGGCCGTACTCACTACAGAGTACCCCACTGCAGGCTAGACAAGCATTATAATCTGACATAAACACGCGAAGGAGCGGGCTTTCGTCTTGGGAAAGCAAAACCTAGTCAGTGGCCTAGTACCGCGCAACTGAAAGAAAGCGTGCCCTAAGGGCGTGCCACGCTTGGGAAGCGGTTGACTACGATGTTGGGCGTTCTAGGGAGGTGAGTATACTTCACCTCTTTGAACCGCTTCAAACCAGTCTGAACAGTGATTCATGAGTTGTAAACTCACGAATTCTTGCGCAAGAAATGTACATCGACGTGGCTTGCCCAATTTCCCTAACGCTCCAAACCCACGCTTCGCCAGAAGCATTTCCGGTAACAGAACTGCTGACAGTAATTGATGAGTTGTTGTTTGAGGCAGGAAGGGAACTGCTAGAATCTCGCCGCGAGATTACGTGAGTGCAGAGTTTCGAAAGATTGGTTTTAACTTTTGATGGTAACCTTATTCGCAAATCTTGCCAAATGTTTCGCGCGTGTATCGTGTGTCCTTGCACAACATTGTGGATGAAGTAAAACACTAAACCTGGGTCGAGCTTTCGGCACAAACCGTACGTGTTCGAAAAGTCACTCGTGTGTCCTCTTGACCATACACGAGGAAGCTGCGAAGTCAGCGACATTCGCGTAGCGCATCCGCGTTGTTCTGCAGCCAAGTGGGAGGGAAGGCGAGAGGAAGTGACGAACCTTTCAACGACGGTTCATTTTCCTTTCCTCGCCCGAACCTCCCTACGTCATGAAAAGTGGACAATCACCAACAATGGAAAAAGGCTACAGTTCGCAATGACGTCAGCCGATGGGGAACTTCGCGAGAAAGGGTGGAAGCTGCTCTTCGGAAGTGACGAAACCACACCCATAATTGCGTGAACGTTGAAGAGGGTTGAACACTCTCGGGTGCCTACAAAACAGGGGTACGAAACCTTGGGCTGGGTGTGCTCTTCCTCCCCCCCCCCCCCAAAAAAAAAAACCCACTCTCTCCCTTGGGTTTCATGGATCGGGAGAGTGGTTGGAGGTTGAGGTTCAATTTTGGCATAGCTACCCGTGATTAACCTGTCGAATGCACACGTGGGTGTTTTCGTGGTGAAGTAGTGGTGTTCCCTACCTCGCTGCTTCTGTTCCATGACAGAAGCAGTTCCAAAAGGTGGTATGCGAGTGGGTAGGCGAGAACATTTGGGGTTGCCTGTGAAATAAGGTGGGTATGCAACTTCCTACTTTCCATTTCCGTGATGGAAATGTAGCGTTCTGCAGCACCTCCCTTCACAGTGGTTCGGACGGTAAGTGGCCGGTTCGACACCAGTTTTGGGGCTGACCGTTTCACCAAAGCTAAAATAAAAAATCTAGGCAGTTTCCTACTTTCCATTCCGTGACGGAAAGTGTGGCTGCAGAACAACGCCATCGTGCGCACTAGTGACTTCGGAAAACAGGGTTTCAACGTCCCAAACACACACGTGGCATTGTACGTGGCACGGAAATATTGTTTCCGGCTCTACCAGTCCATGTCACGGGAAAGTGCAAGCACATTTGGCACAAATATTCTTGACATTTCCCCAAAATTCAACCACCGGTGCGCTGCAAGAGCAGCCCCGCATTTTTTTTTAAGGTCCCTCCCATTACACAAGTGCTGTCTGTCAATTCTACTACTCCTTGCAGACTAAAATAGTAGCTATAAATCCCGATGCTGGAACCGGCGACGGAAACCCAGGCACGTCGTCCAACCCCAACCCCGCCCCCGCGTCACCTGCGACTACTAGGCCACACCAGCGACGTGCCTGCGCCAATAATACTCCTAATACTACGGCCAGGCGCCTTGAAGTTATCGACCTAGACACGATCGTCTCTTCTGTGCCCGATCCGACCGCGCCGCTCAGCTCTGAGGACTATACCCTCACTTACTTCGACGCGGGAGAGGTAGAGACCGACACTGAAGAGAACGCTGGAGAAGGAGAAGAGACACCCATGCCTGGGGAACAACGCCATGGCTGGACTGACGCGGAAGTTATGCAACTTGCTTGGACTCACAATGAGAAGGATAAGGACGTACGCAGCCGGACCAGCCGGACTCACAATGCGTGATTTTATGCGTGATAATTTTCAAGAATTCATGGTACTTTCCCGAAAGCTGGTGCAATCTGATCAGTATGTCCAAGGCGCCAAGAGGCATAGAGGTACGCCGCCAAACGAGAGCAGCTGCGGATCAGCGTGAAGACGTCAGCGCTGGGCAGGTAGTGCGGCGCGGTTGCTGTAGGACCCTGCTGCCACCATCGATTGCGCTCGCGCAACTCCTCCATTCGCGGGCGCACACCGAGAACCAAGTCAATGTTGTGCCGCGTGACGCAAGCGGCGACGTAGCGTGACGCCCGGAAAATGTCGCATTCGAGCCTCCCGTCAAGCAGTTGCCACTTTGTCTTGAGATGACCATTCACTTGCTCGACAACCATGTGTGAGCGTGACTGCTGCAGGTTCCAAACACGCTGCTCGTCCGGCAGATGACGACCAGTAGTTGCTCGGTAGGGTGTGTTGAGGGTAGGGTGCGCAGGCCATATGCCACATCA